AGGCAACCATTCTCCTATCTATTTTCTTACATACTACTACTACTACTTATGATGATGCTAGTCTAAAACTGCATCTCTGTAAAAGCTGTTTACAGCTGTTCTGAAACATGGAGATTTGAAGGTTGTTTCGATTTTATAGCATTGAAGAACATCTCTCTCATCCTAATCAATAAAAAACATTTGATAGCTGCAACTGTAATGGAACCAACAGTGAAGTGTTATAAACAATGACAGAAATGTGTGTCAAGACTGCCACAATGACTTCTACATAGATGTATACCCATACTTCCATATACCTCAGTGGCAGGCAATAAAACAACTCACACTTAAAAATAGGCATATGCTTAATCCTGTTAAGCAGCCTTGACAAAGCAAGACGCTCGTTCTTGCCCAAAAATAATTTAATAACTGTTTTTGTGTATGTCAGTCAGCCCAAGAGGTGTTCCCAGTTACACAACTGTAATAAGAAAAAAACAACTTTAATTCCTAAAGTGTTCTTTTTCATAAATATATCTAGTGGGTTAGACAGTACTAAAAGTAAGGAGTACAAAGAGGTTGAGTGCCAAGCGTTTAGCTGCTGTCTCTGCTAAGAATAGGACCTAAACAAACTATTTTTTTAATAGTCTGTTCTAAATACAAAATACTTGCAACTAATAACTGAAAATGCCTCTGATTTCTTTCATGACCTAAAAGCAGATTAATCATGTAGAAGAGGTGCAGGAGTCTAGAGGCAAGATTTTGTTTTCTTTCATTACTAATATTTAAAATATTAAATATTTCTTTCATTACTAATATTTAAAAACAAGCTAACTTGAAAATTGGCTTACCATTTTTTCTCAGGAAAAAATGAGAGACCACCAGAAAAAACACAAAACCTCTCCACAACTTTGCCTTGAAAAATGGGTTTATGATGAGAGACATTTTTAATGGCCAGAAGAGATGCTTCACATGTTAATGACAGAAGTTTGAGATCAGTTATGACAGTCAGTCTATGATATCAGCACTGCATGAAGACCACAACATTCCAGTTCTGCTAGAACTGAAATGAGAATTTAGTCCACCTTCCAAAACCTCTTTTGGTAGAAAAAAGCCAACAATGTAAAAACCACTAAAGAATGGTTTACATTTTTTATGCAAAGGACAGATTAAATCACATGACTGACCTCACAATGCTATGGGTAGTGCCTTCCATCTTCACTCTCCACACATTTTTAAGGTTATTCTAGCTTGCTGTCAATGCATTCAAAATAACACTGTTCTAGGTTTGTTTTTTTTAAATCAATCCAAATCAGTGCCATTGTAAAAGTTTCCCCAGAACAAAAACATTTCTAAAAGCTTCTTTCTGTTGCTGTATTTTTCTTTGAAGTACGGCTTATCAGCCTTCATTGCCTCCTCAGATTTCTTGAGTCATTGTGGCAACTCATACACATGTAGAAAAGAAAAAGCAAAATGCTTGAAATTTTCAATAGATTTTACTGGTAAATTCCAGTTGCTATAATTAGACAGGCCCTTTTCTAAATCACAAATACAGCTATCAATAGAGATGAAAATAAAAACTAGCACCAAATACATAAAGCCAGCCAAAGCTGAACGTTCCATTTCCTTCCCGAGATCTCAAAATGTGCCCTGATTTAACCATCAGAACTCAAATACACCAGCTGTTTCCATGGTTGTCTTTGCATATAAAACAACAAAATAAATCAGCTTATTCTCATGTCACAAAATTAATAATGTATAAAAACAGGCAAAGTTCTCACTTTAAGCAAAAAAAAAAAAAAAGGATTTTAGAGGTAATGCAGATTCTAAATGACAAAATAATTAACCTGACACTTCAAACCAGTCTAATGTCATTTCAAGCACCTCAAAAAGACAGAAAACCTGAAAAATTCTAAACTCAGCTTCACATTGCAGAGGTCTTACTTTCTCCACTTGCTCAGTTAAACTTTTAACATCATACCAAAAGATGAGCAACCAGTTCAGATGCTCAACAGTTTGACCCTAATTAATTTTTTAATAAATTATATACCTAGATAACAAGTTCATAAAATAGACCCAAAAGACCCAAGGACTAGAACATGAAGCTTCTTAGATCTCCTAAATATAGCAGCAGTCACATGGCTGTCACTAAGACAACATTAGCTTTTCCATGCCAGAATACCTCCTAAACCTTTCCTCCAAAAAATTTAAATTGTGCTATGAAACATAACATGTAACAACTCAGACCTATAACAGCTAAAATAAAAATACACATCCATGTACACCCCCCACAAAACACCCACAAAACCAAACAGCAGCACCTCAAAACTGTACCACTGAAAAGAAAAAAAATCACTCATTGCTGTGCTCAAGTCAGTGACCACCAAAGAGCTATCTATTAGCTTTTCTGAAAAATAACTAACTATATTAATAAATCTTATTTGCTTCTAGAAAGTGTAACTGTAAAAAAGTAGTTTAAACTTAATGATGAACAGTTCTCAGAAGTATATTTATATTTTGCAATTTACAAACGCACAAACATACCAGTTCATATCATTCAAAGGCCACTTCCAATAATTTCAGATTGCACTCCTCATAAGAATAAAGCAAATTTGTGAATGCTAGACATGAACCTACAAAACATCTTTCCATGACAGAAACCAGCTGACACCAACCAAAGATATGCCATGCATTGATAGTAAAAATAAATTAATACAAAATATCTTACATGGTATATTGAAAACTAAGAGTGCTTTACATACAGCAGCTTTCAAAACTCCCTGCTGTAAAACTGGTAGTATTTTCCCTACTGTTCAAATAGGGTAGCTGAAATTAACCAATGCTGATGGAGACAGGGGCAGAGACTATGATTTCTGGCTGCCAGCCTTCCAATTCTGCCACTACTCAGCCCATCTCCGAATTTAAAACCACATATAACTTCTTTTTAATCAACCACTGGCATTGTTTCCCCTTTTAGGGAAAGGAATATGCAAGGTCAGGATTATAACACAGAAGAGTGTACCATTAGTAACTTTGCTGCACCGGAGCTGTGGGAGGAACACCACCTCTTTAAGAACCTGGTTTTGCCAACCCCCTGATCCCACCAGAAGTGTCACAGACAGCTCATTTTCACTAGGAAGGCTAGCATTCAAAAGAGAGAACTCCTGTGAGTGGTTCACGTCATTCACATAGATGCTACTTCCAATGGCAGATACTAGATAGAATCCAGTGCTCTTGCATTTCACCTCATGAAACCTCTTGAAAATACTCTCAGGGTAAAAGTCCAGATAGCAGAGCTAGAAGCAGAAAGAGGACTCTGACAATCCAGCCTTGAAAATGGGAGGAACGGTCACGTCTGAAGTTCAAGAGTCCTACTAAGATACAATTAGAGCATAAACAGCAGAGAACTAGCAGGAAAAACAAGCCTGCAAGAAACCTTATCCCAGCCTTTCCAAAACTGTGTATTATTTCCATCAGCAGCCTGTAAAGTTTGATATAGAAATTTTGGGGTACTGTCAGGCCTTGTAATGTTGCATTTATCCATCAACCAACCACCACTGAACATATAAGCATCTAATACAATGGGTCCCAAACATACCATTACTCTGATCATATTGATATGGTTAACTTTTCTTAATTATTATTTACAGTATATCAATCAGCTGGCTAGATCTGCTGCAGAAAGATAAGTTCCTGCATGCAAAACACCCTTGAAACCACCACATTTCCCCAGTCTTTCACAGCTTCTGTAGGCCACAGTGGCAGTTTGAAAGGAAAGTAATTAAAAGTACTTCTGAAGAATCTATTTCTCCCTTAGCTGGAATGCATTAGTTATAGCCTGCTCCTCTAGATAAAAAGAAAGCAAAGACCAGTGCAATATAAACAGTTCAAGAAACCTAATTACTGACTCAGATGTCTTTTAGATGTCAGTATGACTACAGTGAGGAGCAGGAAAATAAAACACAGGTATCAACCCCAAGTTGTTAGAACAGTTATCAAAACAATGTCTTTCCTCAGTGACTTCATTACGAAGAGCTCAACCAGGTAAATTACATGAGTGCTATGTGTTTCAAAAACGTGGGGTTTTTTAAATAAAAAAGGACTGATGATGTATTTATTACAAAGCACGTGTGTTAAATGGTTCTGCATATTAATGCAGATAAGCAGTGTGACTTTGAAGTCTGAAGGTCAGATACAGTAACCATTCTCACCAGGGTTCTTGAGTCAGACTGTATCTTCTGTTTTGCAGATATGTTTAGGAGGAATAAAAGTAATTAAAAAGAAAAAAATAGAGACAATCAGTTCTGTGACAACTTAGTAAGTAAGAACTGGAACATTATCATTCACCTGTTTTCACTTTAAAATCTGCAAATACCCCATGTCCCCAAAAGGAAGAAAGAAAATTAAATCGGTGTTGAGGAGACACACAATTTCATTCTGCTTTTCAACTTTTGATTTTTCTGATGAGGAAAATCTATCTAATGATGTGAGCAATTGTTTTATGTTAAAGAAGACAATGTAATTTTCTCCATTTTTCACAGACATTTCAAAACTGTATAATTTAAGACAGCAGAAGGATTTTCTTGTTGATCAACATCATATTGTAAAGCAGCATTGATTTGACTGCAGATGCAATTCAGAGGATTGTGTACTGATGTTTTTTCCAGACATCAGATATTTTCTCCCTCTATATTCCCAGCAACTCTACGATACACAACTGCTGGGCCTGACAGTAAACAAATATGCCTCATGTACTAGAGTCCAATTCATGTTAAAAAACAAATAAACTTAAAAAAAAAAATGTATGTTTTACATGCATACCTTAAAGACAAATAACCATATTGGTTATTTTTATTTTATTACATTTTTATATTTAAATAAACTACCATGTTTAAATACAGTAAAACTGATAACACCTCCCAGTAAAAATACTGAGTTATAAAACTCCCCTCTTACACAGAGACATTATACAAAGCGAACAGAACATCGATCAATGTACACCAAATAAACACATTCAAACTTACCCCACTCTAGATACTCAAGGATGTTCTTCTCTCTTCTCAGAGGGGAATTACTACATTCATCATAAAGGCAGATGAGTATATCCAGCAAGGTTTCCACACTGAAGCACTGCCCATTAGTCTGAGTTGGCCCATCCAAAATAAACTGTTCCAGCTGCTTCAAACGCACTTCTCCAGACATGGTTGTTTCAGTTTGCATTGGGATTCCTTTTTTAATTATTATTATTACTTTGCCAAAAAAAAAACCCAACAAAAATAAAACAAAATTTTAAAAAAATCGTTTGAGGGTTTTGTTCTTTAAAGAGAAGTCAACAGTTATTTTTAAAAAGTGTCAAACTGTGGCGGTGCTTAATTTCTAGACCACTTCGGTGTTCCCAGCCTCAAACTAAACCTTTGCAAGTTTCAGACACACACATATAGTGTGTATCTGTGTATGCATAAGTCCTAAGAGAACAAAATGCTTATCATAAAAAATGCGTATTACGCTTTTTTATTATTCTTTTTAATTTTTATTATACTTAGTAAAGAAGGAAAAAAAATATATGGCAAGTCCTCACGCTTTAATAATAATAATTGGACTGAAATTCAACCGAGACAGACTGACACGGATTTAACTGTGCGTGCACAGGCAGACGCACTTATATATTTAAAAAGGTCTTCTCCTTCATTTAAAATGCAGATCATGCAACACGATCCCAAGAGGAGCCCCACCGCATCATTAAAGTGTAATAGCCCCCTTCGGCTCGCACCAGCCTTTCACCTCCCAAGAGGGATGGAAAGGGAAAACCAGATATATTTATGTATTTATATGCACGAAAGGGAGAAGAGAGAAGGGCAAGCAGGGCGCACACCGGGGAGGGACGGGGCTACGCAGCCCCACCGGGGCCTCCCCCGGCCGGCAGGGCCTACGAGGCCACCGCGCCCACCGTGGGGGTGGGGCGCGGGGCCC